ACATATATATATATAGTTACTTCGAAGATGTTAGCATTTGTGGGCACTTCTAGAAGGCTAGAGACTTATTTTATTTTACACGCTTAGCTCAAACATATTATAATATGATATAGATATCAATTTAATAATTTCGACATACATTAAAATCTAGATTAAGTAAAAAAAAAGATAACAAATAATCTAAAACTACCATATATGTATGTATTATTAATTAAGCTTGAATCATCTAGAAATGAAAAAAATTATCTATAAGAAAACAATAGCTTTTTCATCGTGCCTTTTGTTAGTATGAAATCAAGTGTGTTCTTGAAATTGTTACACAGACTCAACATTCTTCTGACGGGTTCATATTTCCCATAAGTAGTTCTATGAAAGGGAACTAAAAAAAAATCAGGAGAACGAAACCTAAAATTAGAATTGATGACGATTTCTCATTAAAAATATCGGTAGAAATCAAATCAGATGTCATATTTATTAAAATATTTTATATTTTTTTATTTATTTAAATATCACGTCACTGATATCATGTCTCTTGCTTAAAGTGGGTTACTTAATAAATTTCCCCATGAACCTGTCCTCATAAGATGGGAGAAAGATTGGATCCTCCCAAGAAAGGCGTAAATCTTACAAAATTCTTTTGAATCGACTCAATCCTCTTATCAATCTTATTTTCTGATTGTTTCACACAAAAACAATAGAACCAATTATAATTAACGACACAAAACCAAAAGAAACTGACTGGTTGTTAACAAAAAACAAAAGAAATACAAAGAAAGGGGAAACAAGTACTCAGTCGCCGACAAATTGGGAAAATAATAATAGACCCACAGTGTTCAATTATAAAAATAAGGAGTACCATAAAAATCAGAATAAATATAGCCTGCTTTCACAGGTATACTATCGGAAGGCAGTTTCCAATTTGAGTCAAATATTAGTACACCTACACAGAACAATGAAAATGAAATTGAAAAGAGGTCAGAAACAAAAAAAAATCACAAGCCACCACCAGTAATAACATAAAAAACTACGCTGATCTTAACAAAAACCTGAAAAATAACAACATAAAACATACAACATATATGCTAAACAACAACCAAGTTAAAATCAATGTTAACACGGAAGCAGAATACAGGGAACTCACAAATTACGCGAACATTGCTAAGATGGAGTGGCACTCATACGAAAATAAGCAGGCCAGACCCATAAGGGTAATGGTCAGGCACCTTTATCCATCGTGTGATCCAGATGATATTAAAAACGAATTACTGGAAAGAGAGTATAAAATAATGAGTGTAGTAAACAAATATAGTAAAAGAAAATTAAATGAAAAACAATATGTCACTAAATTACCACTGTTTATGTTAACATTTGAAAACACTGAAAATATAGAAAAAAGAAAATAGAAGCATCAAAGAGCGTTAATCAAATACCACAATGCAAAAGATGTCAAAGGCATGGACACACTCAAAAATATTGCAACAGGGAACCAAGCTGCGTTAAATGTGCAGGGAACCACCTTACAACCGTCTGTACTAAAAGCAAAGATGTACCTGCGAAATGTGCTAACTGTAATGAGGCACACCCAGCGAACTATAGAGGATGCATAATTGCAAAAGAATTGCAAAAAAGAAGAAACATGCAAAAAAACATAAGAAATGGTATAAGCACACAAGGTGAGACTATACATGCCAATAATAATAACACAAGTCAGAAAGTCGTAAAAGAGATATCATATGCACAGGCAGTAAAAAAAAATTCAAACACAAAAGAAAATGATTTCAATGAACAGTATTTATAACTTAATCAGTAATCTAACACTTAGTTTAGATAACATCGAGAATCACCTACCTGGTACAAGAAGACTGAAAAATAAAAATAATCAATAAGCAATTGAGAATCGCCACCTGGAACGCCAACGGTATAAAAAACAAAACACAAGAACTTGAAGTATTTCTTATAACGCGCAACATAGATATTTGTTTACTTTCGGAAACTCACCTGACGGATCAAATGTACCTGAAAATAAAAAATTATAATACCTAGCCTAAGTCACCTAAGTCGACATCCAAATAATCAATCCAAAGGTGGGAGTGCTTTAATAATAAATGATAATCTAAACTACAATGTACAGAATAGCATACAAATTATTGAATGTCAACTAACATCAATTGAAATAAAAACAGAAAAACGGAAACTCGTTGTTGGTGCAATATACCTAGCACCCAAGTTCAACCTGAAAAAGAATGAGTATATTAAAATTCTGCAAGAACTAGGAGAAACATTCATATTAGGTGGGGATATGAATGCCAAACATGTCTCATGGGGATCTAGATTATCTTGAAGGGAAAGAATTGAAAGCAGCAGCAAATTGCCAAGGTTGTCATATCCACTCAACTGGTAAACCAACCTACTGGTCCACTGACCCAAATAGATTGTCAGATGTATTGGACATATTTATAACAAGAAAAATAACTACAAATTGCATAAGTATGGAGGATAGTTATGATCTGAGCTCTGATCAGTCTGCTGTCATCTTAAACCTGAACGAAAAAGCAATTCCACTACCAATTAAACCAACGTTAACCAATAAAACGACGGATTGGGAGAGCTTTAAAATCGATATAGAAAATTCAATTGATCTAAGATGTGCTATAAACACTACACAACAACTAGAAGAAGAAACGGAAATGTTTACAAAAATAATACAACAAGCAGCATGGCAAAATACGAAAAACTATGTACAAAAAACAAATAACATAACATATCCATAATGAAATAAAAGAGCTAATTAGTGAAAAGAGAAAAGCTAGAAAAAGGTGGCAATTAACGAGAGACCCGGCAGATAAAAACATATTACATAGAAAGACACAGGAGATGAAAAGAAAAATTCAAAGCTTTAAAAACGAAAACATGGAAAACTATATCAAAAACTTAATACCAGATGAAAAAACTGATTATTCGCTGTTGAAGGTTACAAAAAAACTCAAGAAACCTATTGTACACATTCCACCGACAAAAACAACAAACAACACTTGGGCAAGAACAAATGAAGAAAAAGCACACACATTTGCAAAGTATTTAGAAGAAGTTTTTAAACAATATCTGGTAACAAATAATAACATACAAAATGAGCGATCGACTGATGAAGGAATTACAAATCTACAAATTCCGCAAGTTTCACCAAGGCAAGTTAAAGATGAAATCGAAAAAAGCTTCAAAAGAAAAAAAGCTCCAGGGCACGATTTGATTACTGCCGAAATACTGATCCATCTGCTAAGGAAAGGTCTATTATTTTTAACAAAGCTCATCAACACCTGTTTTAGGTTAAAACACATGCCGATGATTTGGAAAGTTGCTGAAATGACCATGTTACTAAAGCTAGGAAAGCCTCAAAACGAAGTAAAATCATACCGACCTATTTCATTATTACCAATACTATCGAAGCTAGTTGAGAAATCGTTTCTAAGGAACCTAAAAAATACAGTGGAAAATAAATACATAATACCAAATTATCAATTTGGTTTTAGGGAGAAACATTCAACAACTGAACAAATCCATCGTATTACGGATATAATAGAAAATGCGTTAGAGGAAAAGAAAATATGTACAGCAACTTTTCTGGACATGACACAAGCGTTCGACAGAGTATGGCACACAGGCTTGATCAACAAAATTAAAAAATTTCTACCATCATCGTACGTCGATTTCATATCATCGTATCTAAGGGATAGATTATTTATCTGGGACCGTTCTTGTACCTACTTTACACTCATGATCTACCAACTTTCGATAAAGTAACAGTGGCTACATTTGCGGATGACACTGCGTTATTAACAGTAGACGAAAATATAAATACATCAACACAAAATTTACAATATGCAAACAACAAAATCTTAGAATGGACAGATAAATGGAAAATGAAAATAAATGAACAAAAGTCAATACACATAAATTTTATAAACAAACAAAATTGCCCGAACTTACCAATACATTTAAACGATAAAATTACACCTAATAAAAAAAAAGTCAAGTACCTGGGTATGATACTGGACAAAAAGCTATTATGGAGAGACCACATTAATAGTAAATTAACAGAATTAAAAATTAAATATACAAAGTTACAATGGCTGATTGGTTATAACTCCAAACTCAGTATGGGTAATAAACTTTTAATTTATAACCAGATATTAAAACCAATATGGCTTTATGGAATACAACTTTGGGGTTGCGCTAGTAAATGTCATATAGATATCATCTAGAGATTTCAAAATAAAGTAATTAGAAACATCGTTAAAGCACCATGGTACGTTAGAAATGCTGATTTGCATCGAGACCTCATAATAAAAACAGTCCAAGAAGAAATAAAAAGATTCGCTGTAAAACATTATCATCACATACTAACATTGAAGCATCAAAACTCAGTCTAACGGGGGATGAAAATGGTTCCAGAAGATTAAAACGAAAGAGGCCTTACGATTGGTTATAAATCTTGATTAGACTATATTATGTACATATATATTATAATAATATGAGATTGACTTGACAGGAAACAGATAAAATGTTGAAAAGCAATTGTGTGATTCAGCAAGTATTATTTAATTAGGCTTAGATTACAGAAACAAGCTGATGGTTGGTCATTTTGACCAGTTTTAGCGCTACATATAGATAATAAATCTAAAATAAAAAAAAAAAAAAAAAACGTTGTTTTTAAAAAAAATTAAACCATTTTTTTTAACTGAGCGTTTTTTTTGACTCGTAAAAACGGCTATATTTTTGAATTTGTTAATTTTGGTTTTGTTATTATTTTTTTAATGTTTTTTTTTTCATAAATTTTGTTAATAATTGAGTGAACTCTCAATTTTATAAATTTATTTTTAAATTGCATAATTAAAATAAAAAATATTAACAGCTAAAACAAAAAAGATTCTACTGAGCGGTTTTTTTTGACACATATCGCACATTTGCGAATAGCACAGTCACCAACTTGCTTTTATTACTACATATTATATTTTAATATATAAATCATTTCTGTACCAAAATATTTCATTGTAACATTTCTGTATTATTATACAGAGAATTTGTTCATATATTTGTAGATCAGTTCTATACGAAAGTTTTTTAGTCTTCGATAGAAATTTACACTTTGCTATAAATATTTAAAATTCCGGAAGTCAAAATTATATTTTTGAGTTGTCTCGTTATGTCATGTAGAGTCACGTACAGAAAATCCAAACCATAAACACATCATTTTGAAGAACTATAAAATGTACAAAACTTCTGCTTATTTCACAACCAAGAATGGACGAAAAATAATTCTTACGGGAGCGGCTGCATTCGGGTTTATTTTATTTGCTGGAAATTTTTTCCCTCATACACTGTTTCTACATAAATACAAAGAAGTAGTAGCGTGCTATAAGTAAAGAAAATTTAGTGAAGTAGTATATTGATTTGTATGCACTTGCAATTTCAGGGAAGGTATTGAAGTTCCAGTTCCTGAAAAAGTGAAAACATATTTGAAAACTGCCTACGAAAAGCTTGGAATGCATCCTTGTTACCAAATAAATATTCAACCTTTCACAGTATTTGGGTTCGATATATTTGAAGGCGGATCAACACATTATCGTTTTGGTTGTGTAATCGGAATACCTACTAATTTCTGTTATGAGGTACAAATGATTATAATCACAATAAAAGATAAATTAAAATCAAAAATCTATAGTCTGAAGAAGACGTTGATTACCAGTTTATGAGACTTCGTAATGAAAAGATAATATGGGATAGTGAAGATGGCAAATTTTTGAAAAAATCTTTGGTGTTTACAGAAGATGAAAAGTTATTTGCTATTTGTAAATCCATTTTACAAGTATTATGCAATTTTTTATAAAATTCACTTATAATTAAGTATAATTGCAGCTACAAACACATCGAGTGCTATTGAATTCGATATTTCCATCACTTTCTTTTTTGTCTATGTACGCAATTGCTACTAGCTTAAATCAAAAATTGAATCTATACGCTAAGCCGCTTTCAGTTAGAGTAATTATGTATTCAATATTGGGATTTTTTGGTTTTGGAACCTGGGCGTTTTTGAAAGATTTTAATCAAGTTTTGTATGATATTTCTATTGATAAGACACTTGCAAAGCTAGGTCCTGGTAATTTATTAGTTATGCATTTTTGTTTTGTAAAGCTTGTTTATTTCTCTTTGTAGAATTCGTCCTGGCAGGAATATCTTACTATGGGAAAATTCTAAAGCGTAATATTGCTTTTGAAAACTTAGTTGGTAGTGGGAAATATTCTTCCACCGGAAATGAAAACTTCCTTGTGAGGCAAAAAAGTCTTCCAATAACTTATCGCAAAGCGTTTTTTGAATCAAAACTACAGGAACTTAATAAAAAATTAAACCAAATGGCTTTATAATTACCAAAACATTTATTTCAAATAAACTTACATACGAACATTGCACGTACGTATGTATGTGGTTTATACATTTTCTATTAATTTCAAACTACACCCAGCGGGATTACAAAAGTTATTGCATCACCAAATTGGCCCCATTTATCTCTATTATTTTGAAAAACTGTTACCCACAGTACTGCAATTGAAAGCCACATCAAAGATAAGGTCCCTGACAGCAAAACATCTGAATAGTAAATTAATTTTGTATATACATAGGCAAGGTGTACTTAATTTATAGCAACTTCTTACACTTTTTCATTTGTTTTTGATGCTCGAAAGGGCTTCTCAAAAATGCCTCACTGTAAAACCAAATCGAATTTATAATCCACACAAACGGTAGAAATGCAAAGCCAGCTAAAAAATATTAAACATTATAAATAAAATGAATTCTCATTTCATTACGTTCTTTAATGTAAAATATTTCAATACAACCTTAAATTAAAATAGTTTTAAAAAAAAATCTCTTGTGCTCAGATCATTATACATTTAAAATTTGATTTTTATTTATAAAAAATTTTAGTATATTTTATTGATAACAAATGGAATATTTCGATTTCATTTAAGTCTTCTATTGTTAAATTTGTCATTAAAAAATATCTTCCTTTTTTACAATATGGAATTTAATAATTCGTGTGTATATGCATTTGTGTTTAATGTCGCATAATTTTTAAGTACACTCACGAAATTTTTAAATTACTTTACATTTACCCTTAAAGTACCAGTTACAGAGATACAGTTTTCTCTCATCCGACATCTTACTTAAGTCCATTTTTGGATTTGGAAGTTATAACTTCCGCAGCATTACCTTCACCTTCGTTTGTACATGACATGTACAGTAAGTGGTGGAGAACTATCGACAGTACTATCGATACTATTGCTCGTTTTTAGCTATTATGGAATTCGTCCTGGCTGGAATATCTTACTATGGGAAAATTATAAAGCGTAATATTGCTTTTGAAAACTTAGTTGGTAGTGGAAATATTCTTCCACCGGAAATGAAAACTGTGAGGCAAAAAAGTCTTCCAATAACTAATCGCAAAGCGTTTTTTGAATCAAAACTACAAGAACTTAATAATATCGATAGCACTAAATATATAAATTTAATAATATCGATAGCATAATATAAACTTAACTAGTAATAGTATCGATAGTACTATCGATACTATTGCTAGTTTTTAGCTATTCAGTGGTCGAAATGGGATACTCAAAGTAGCGGGATAGTAAAAAAAAAAAAAATAAAAAAAAAGTATTATTTCAGTTATTTTTTAAAAAAATAATTAAATAAATGCATAGACTACTATGTAGTAACGAAAATTTCATTAATAGGAAAAAATTATACGTTACTATTTGGTCTTATTTAAAATTACATATAATTTTTTGTTAAAAAAATTTTTAAAATTCATTGGAAAATTTTCTTAAATTTTAAAAAACATGTTCCGGAACGCATTTTTCTCTCCTATTTAGTAGTAGGATGGATTTCCAATTATTTAAAAGTACTGGGATGGCATCCCACTCCATCCCGCCTCACTTCGAGCACTGATTATGACAAAAAATTTTTTCGTTTAAGCATATGAGAATTTTCAAAATATTCAAAACTACAAACGATTTTTTATCGATAAAATAAGAATGAAAAGTTAAGAAAATAAAAATATTTAAAGTTAATACTACGCACGTTACGATGGCTGTGTGAGCTGTTGATAAGTCTAATTACTGATGAAGTTTTTCAAATTATATTATTTATATACTGTTTTATTTGTTTACAAATTAAATGAAGGCCATCGATACATCATACTATACACTAACTATAACACTGTCGATATATCGCAATATTTTTACAACAAAATATCGAAAATATCAATTGTCCAATATATTGATAGTTCCCCAACATTATGTACAATACAAAAAGAAATAAAACAATTCTCATTCTTCAATTTTTCTATATAGGAAATAAGGATGGACTTTATTAAAATTGATAACCTTAATTTCGATATTTAACAATTTTAATACATATTATACAAAAATCAGAGTTTTGACAACCAATCTAGCGTGATGTTGGTTACGAAGAGCAACGTTGGATGTTTTTGGATATAGGTTTATATAGCTTTTCGTTAGATTTATTATAACGTAAAAACTAATAAAACGGGAACATATTTAAAAAAAATAAATGGAATGTAACTACGAATTTTGAAATCAGTAACGGGTGAAGGAAATAACTCTTCAGGAACTGCTCAGAAAATATTGAAAAGTAAAGTACAGAAAAAAGGATGAATTTGTATTAAAAAATGGAAAGTAATTTTCATAAGATTTTCATATAAAGATGTGATAATGTAGTTTACATTGACATGCTAAGACATGCTAAGCCAACATTTGTAAATTCGGGAATATTGAATATTTATTTTTACCATGCTGGTACAAATGAAAATCGAATATCATTTTTAATTTTAAAATAAAATTTAAAATAAAACGAGACACAAATTAACCAATTAATTAACTGACTAAGACTTTAATTTGGTTTTTTCATAAAGCTGAGACGCTATACTCAATTTAAAAAAGAAATTGCAAAAAGCAAAATTTTTAAACTTTGTTACACTTATACGAATGAAAAATAAGGATATATATCAGATAATCCATCTGGTCCCTTCACGTCCCTGAGTCAAAAAAAAAAAAAACCGTTTAATTTAAATAAATAGTAAGCCTCGCGGCTTTAAATAACTTGATAAAAAATAATTTTGAACTGAGCTATTTTTTTGGCAGCATTGCCAATTGCTAAAAGTATTCTTATTATTATGCAACGAATTAAAAAATGAAGAAAAATCTTGGCTCTTTTGCACTTCCTAAGAAATCGTATCTTGAAAAAAATCACAGTGAAGCTAAAAATTTTAGGTAAGTTTCCAAGAATTGTCAAATTAAAAATGAAATTTTATGCCAAAATGTTTTTTTTCTAATAGCAAGCGGCGATGGTGTAGTAAATAAAGAGAGTTCTGTGTTTTTTTTTATTTTTTTAATAAAAAAAAGGGGTCACAGAGAAGTATGTTGAAAAAATAATGAAGCCGAATTTTTTCTAGTGTCTCTTTCTTTGATCCGAACATTATCAAAATCGTAACAGGAGCGTATTTATATAATTTTCTTGTCTGACCTCTACTCTAAAATATGTGTAATTTGTATAAGTGTCATAATATTTTATTACCTTAAAAAATGAACATATTTTGTTAAAGTATATCTAATATTATCATCTGACCATTGGTGCAGTGGTTATGGCACCGGTCCTTGAACCGAAGGGTCTCGGGTTCAAACCCCGGTCAGGTCACTATAAAAATTATATTCAATATTATTATAACTTAATATACAATACTAATAAAAATATTATACAAGTAATTTTCAAATATTCCTAATATTCGATATTAAAAAAAAAAACTAAGAAAAATAAATAGTAAATATTAATAACCTCAAATAATTAATATATAAATAAAAACTACGGCAGGCTAGTCACCTACCTAGTTAAACCCTATGACGCTATGAAACTAATGCATGAGAAATCATGCCCTAGCCCTATGCTCCTTCTAGGAGTGAACAAAGGAAAAAAAAAAAAAAAAAAATAAAAAAAAAACAAATCTCTTATATTATCAGTTTTGTTTGACAATTTTACATAACAACTCTTAACAATATTAATAACAATACTCATACATATATTTTAACTAGTCGTGTGAGCTTGCATTGCAAGCTTTGCAAGTATTATGTCTGTATTTTTGAAATTATGTTCCATTATGTGTGAGATATTTTAAGTTTACTTTCTTCAAAAACAAACCCGTAATATACATATAGATAAAACTTAATAAAAAAAAGGACTTAATTAAACAAATAATTAGTTCCTTTTAGATCTAATATCTTTTGAGTAATTTGTTTTAGAACCTCGAGTTTAGTTAAGTCGCATAAAATCGTAAACTATCTTTGGCAATAAGCACTTTAAACGATCAATTACTGTGTACGCATAAAATAATCCGCTACTAACACATAAAATAATCCGCTAATTTTAAAATACATACGAATCAAATGCGTGAATGCATAATTAGTTAATACTGTACTATACAGGGCAATGCATATGATTTCTATGTAAAAAGTCGCAGATTCGAACCCTGAAAAATTCAAATTGCCAGATGAACTTTTTTTTAATTGATAATTATCAATGTTTATCGAGCACCAAACATTATATCAACCAAATTTAATGACTTTCTAAATGAATTTCAAAACTGCATAGTAAATACCAATTTAAAAAAAAAACACTTATATCACTGGTGATTTCAATTTAAATTTATTTGATATTAATAATAATAATGTTAGCAAGTATAAAAATTTTGTGTCTTCAAATTATTTTTACAATTGTAATGGAAATTCAACAACTAGAAAATTATCTAACACCTGTATAGATCATTTTTTCACAAATAATTTAAATGAAAGAATAGAATTATCGCATGTAAATATGGAATTATTAGATCACGATGTCATACTGACAGAAATTTTTAATAACAATATATTGCAAAGTAATAATATGTCATCTGAAAACAGTAAAACCCTCATAAATAGAACTCTTAGCCCGTACTCTATAAAAAAATCGTTAATGGACAAACAACTAATTTTAAGTACTACTAAAAATTGTGAAGATACCGTCAATGATTGGCTTGAAAGACTTAAAGAAAGAACTATGGAATCGTACAAATCATCAGAATAAAACATAAGAATAACCAGTACTGGATCGATAAAGAACTTATTGACGCAGTGAAGGTCAAAAATGGTTGGTTTTCAAAATGGTCACGTGATAGTTCCAATACATTCTTGCAACATCAATATAAATATTATCGCAATAAGGTTACAATTATGCGTAGATATAAAAAAAAATATATTTTGAAAAAGTGTTTGCAGAACATTGTAGAGATTCCTCGAAAACATGGCAGTGTATAAATAATATGTTATATAACAGAGTCAGTAATAAAAGTGGTGTTGATTTACTAAATGGATTGCCAAAGCAGGATGCTGAAATAAAAATTAATAATTTAAATAAATATTTTGCTGGAATTTGTTGAACTAATGACAAAAAATTTTGAAAGTAAAATTTTTTACCCTCAATCTTATACTGACTTGTCGTTTGAATTCGAGTTTTCTGATAAAAGAAGATTTTTCTGAAATAAATAAGATTATTAAACAGCTAAAAAACTCAAAAACAACAGATTCACTTAATTTATCGAATAATCTGATTAAAATATGTAATGAGTATTTATGTTGTTCGATTGCTTTGATAATTAATAAATCGCTCGCTGAGGGTGTTTTTCCTGAAGCCTTAAAACTGGGAAGAATTGTTCCAATTTTCAAATCTGGTGATAAGAGTGATTATATTAATTATAGACCAATTTGTATAGCTCCTGGTTTATCTAAAATAATAGAAAAAGTTGTATACACACAGGTTTCTCGATTTCTCTAAAATAACAAGATTCTTTCAAAAACGCAATATGGTTACAGAATCAAATCCAACACCGAAGCTGCTGTAGGTGATATGATCAATCGTGTTCAAAACCTAAAAGATGATAAAAAAATGGTTTCATTATTATTTATGGATCTGTCAAAGGCCTTCGACACAGTTGATCATAAAATACTGCTGATGAAATTACGTAGTTATGGAATTAAAGGGTTGGCTAACAAATGGTTTTCATCTTATCTACAAAGTCGAAAACAATTTACACATATTGGAGCCAATAAAAGTGAAAATCAATTGGTTACATATGGTGTATAAACAAAATCGGAATTAAAGCTGATATATATCTTTATGCAGATGATATTTGTTTGGTATTTCAAGCTGATAATTACAACGATCTACAAAATAAAATGAATCGCGAACTAGATAAGGTAAATGAATGGATGAAAACTCAAAAATTGACAGTGAATCGAAACAAAACTAAATATTTAATTGTTGCTACAACGGCCCCTAAGCTGGATATAAAGATTGCAAATGAAAGTTTACAACAATTTGATAATTTTAAATATCTTGGAATCTGGTCGGATAATGAAATAAATTGGAAAAC